TTTTTTTTTTTTTTTTTGGCGGAACCAGGGATTGAACTCAGGCCCTTGCGCTTGCCAGGGAAGCGCTTATTCCACTGAGCCATCTCCCCAGCCCCCGCCTGTTTGTCTTTTGAGGCAGGTTGTCACAATGTAGTTTTAAGCTAACCTTAATTTCCCTGGCCTCAAACTCATAGCAGTCCTACTGCCTTAGCCTGCCAAGTTCTTGGATTACAGGGCTGCTCTGCTAATTCTTTTCTGTATAGCATCTTTGTCTTACCCTATATTCTTTCACATTATTGAGCTTTGAAGCCAAGAGCAGTCTACTATGGAGCTACACTGCAACCTTTTTCTTTTTCTTTTTTTTTGGTGGTGGTGGTGGTGGTGGTAGTTTTTTAAGTTGCCAAGGTTAAACACAAGCTTGTGATCTTCCTGCCTCTGTCTCCCAACTACCTGGGACCACAGGAATGTGCCACCATGCCTGGCTTCTGTTTTTAATTGAGCTACTTACAGTGTTTTGTCTATGAATATAGTGGCCAAAGTTATTTTGTTGGCTTTTTAGAAGCTTAAACTCTGAATTATTTTAAAATATTTTTCCCTTAGTTTGGTAGCTATATGGTTTCATCAAATTAAGGATCATTATTTTTGTTTCTTGTTTCAAAAAATCTTGTTGTTTCTCTAAACCTACAGTGTTTGTTCTGAAATTTATTAGAATACAACTATACCTTTTATAGTCTAAATTACATACTTGAAACAATTTTATGTTTAACAATTCTTTGACTCTCCCAAACATGATAATGTCTGTATTTCTTTCCTCAGCACGACTGCGTGGTGTACATGATGGTCTGTTCACAGGACAGATAGATGCTGTGGATACTTTTAATGCTACTTATAGAGTGACTTTTGATAGGACAGGGCTTGGAACTCATACCATCCCTGACTATGAAGTTCTTGTAAGTAATAGTTTGTTCATTTTAGGCTTATTATATAGATTGTGTAGTTTTCTTAAAAGCTCTGTGTTGTGAAGAATTAAAGGGACTGGGGAGATGGCTCAGTAGAATGAGCGCTTCCCTGGCAAGCGCAAAGGTCTGAGTTCAATCCCCAGTTCCACCAGAAAAAATAAAAAGAATTAAAGCTTCAGTTCATAAAGGAAGAGAGACCTTGAAGGTTCCTAACTCTGTCTTGCTAGACTCCTATAACACAGCTCTACCTAAGTCATATTTCCACATTCCTTTGATTGTTCTTTTTTTTTTTTTTTTTTTT